TTTAACCGTTAAATATTTTTAATTTATTCAACGGTTTTTATTCCAAAACTGTTGCATAAATTTTTGAAATTTTAAAATGAGAAATTGTGAGAGATAATATTCAACAGTTTTGGAATAAAAACTGCTGAATATTTTTAAATTATTCAATGGTTATTAATTAAAAACCGTTGAATATATACTTATTCAGCGGTTGTAAGATGAAACCGTTGAATAGTTTTGTGATCATATTCAACGGTTTTATCTTATAACCATTGAATATTAGGACCTAATTTTTTTCATATTCTGCCTACATTTCTAGCAAGCCCCCTGCATTGTAAATTACAGAATGATATTCCAGAACCCAGACACAAGTTTCAGCCAATAATAGTTACGTTTATATATATATGTGTGTGTACAATAAATTCCTATAAAAAACTTATGTACAACTTGAATTGCTTAAATGAAAGCAATTAGGGGTTAAAACATAAAGCTTCAAATTCTAAAATTTGCCTAAGTTTCTTAACTATCACTGCTGCTGGCTGTTGAAAGTAAACCATGCTTCAAAAATACCGTGTGCTAACTCTTCAAGGACTTCTTCTATTTGAGCATGAGTATACGTGTCACAGTATGTGTCCTCATAGTACTATATGCGACAACAACAACAAAAAATTAAAATCATGTTTATTGATAAAAACTAATAAAATAGAATGGGAAGACAATTACATTATTTAGAAGAATTCCGGTTGGAGCATGTTGGATTATGTCCTTTATGAATTTCATGACAGCGTACCCACAATCCCTGACTTTGTCTGCTTGCTCTGGGCACTACAATCATACAATGGATAAAATAACCGAATAGTTAATTAATAATATGACATGACCTATACAATGACGTTGCTAACATAATTAATGATAAATACATGTACCTTGACAACTTTCCATGATGCTGCTGTATCAAACCGACTGCTGCCCTTTACTAGTTGTTGAAATTGTTGATCAACATCAGTGCGGTATATGATAATGGCCCTAACATGAAATAGAAAACTTGACATGAGAAATATTCATACAAAAAGAACAAATTACATATATGCAAACAAATTAATCAACTTACTGATTAATCATTTCCACAATATGTGGTCTGTTAGATGGATGGCCACTCCGAATAGGGTCAAGATACCACACCCTCCCTAAAGTTGGATTGATCACAAGCAATATCTAGTGTCCCCTATGACAAAAATTATAATTAGAAACTATCATATAAATAATTAAATGTTGAATAAATTAAAGTGAAGCATCGTAAAGTAACTTACCCTTCACAATAAGGTACTATAAATATTGTGTTCTTGTCAGCACCACGTTGATGGAAGTACTTTGAAAGCTTTTGAGATATTTCCAGTCCTTGCTTAGGACTCATTATATTATGGCCATAAGGAGAGACCATATGAGGACTGACAAATATACTCCTCCGTGCTATATCTCTTCCAACAAGCATGGTAGTGTAGAGGTTCCTTAAATGTCAAAATAAATAGAACGATATATGATTAAAGAGTGTGTGTGTGTGTGTGTGTGTATAGCTAAATGTCTAATGAAAGGTTTTAGAAACATATCTCATATATAACTTACATAGAGTAGTGGTAGAAGATAGCAAAGACAAGGATTCATTTTTAGATCCAACTGAAGATAGCCAAAGCCTAAAATACATTGATATATAAAGGAGATAACCATATCATATAAACTAATGCCTCTAGAAATGACTGGATGACTCATCACAAAAGCACTTAACATTAAAAGATAATAGAAATGGCTAAGATAGGATAATAGAGGATATAAAAATGAAGTAATGCCTACAGAAGTTGGTCTTCAGTTACAGCTAACAACTTTACTAAGATTGGAAATCGTCCAATAAGCTCTATATGAGACTTTAGGCAATTAGACGAGAACTTTCTACCTAAAAATTGCTAATGCATCTATTAGACTCAAGCAGAAGGTTACCATCATCATATTGCTTCTTGTACATTTTGTTTAGGGCTAGGGGTGAATTAAGTGGAAAGCATCATTGAAGTACATGATTTATAGCTTCTTGCTATTAAAGAAATAAAAGATAGAAAGGAATCTTTTTATTCAGATAAGGTCAATTCTCACCAACTCAAGTAAAGATGTTGTTGCAATAGCACAGTACAGCAGCATCTTTCACTCAAACAGTTCTCATATTGGCATGAATTGGTTCTCCAAAACCAATAGAAGAATACTCTTGTTTGATTTAATTGATAAATTATTACTCCCTTCATTTCAAAATGCAAGACATTTTTAATTAAATCTCACCTCCTAATAAAGTAGTTATCTACTTCAAACTAATCCTATCTTTCAATATTTATCTCTATTAAATACCCTACAATAAATATAAAGTTATCTATTAATAGGGGCACTTTTGAAAAAAAATAATAATTATAATTCGAAAGACTAAAATACCTTACATTTTTTTTACATAACTCCTAATAAAATGCCTCATATTTTTGAAAGAAGAGAGTAAAATTTAAAGCAATATTTAGGGGAAAACATAGGTGATAAATATAACAATTTTAAGGCAATTTAGCATAAGTAATAAATATATGTTATTAAAATCAAGTACATATTGTGCTTTAGAAAGGAGCCTGGATCACCAACCTTTTTAGAAATACTTGACAGTTTGATAAAAGAGTTCTTTGACAAATACTTATTTTAATTTTCTTCTCTTTTCTCATTATCTCTCTTTAAATCTTCCATAGCCTACAAATCTAACTATTCCAATAAAAGTCTAAACTAGTCTTTACACTGGGATGGGTTATAAAATTCACTAGAGCAAGGTGGGCATTGCCATAAGGAATGGGAAGAAAATGGCTGAGTAGAGAAGTTTATTTTATTAGCAATATCCTTTCAGTTAGTATGTGTATTGCTTTAACAAAAATAGAAGGAAAAATTTTAGCTGCTTGCAATGGTGCATGCGTGTATTTTTTAGAGTCTGATCTCTTAGTCTCCACACAATAATAAGTTAACCAACAAAATTAGAATGTTGTAGTAAGTTAGTAATTAGTAAAAGGTTTTGAAACTATCCATAATGTCTTCATTTTCTCTATAGAAGGAGAATTGTGGTCACTATTTAGTGGGGAATTATTTGAAATTTCAAAATTCTCCATTATTTCATTATTAATGAAAAATATAAAAGTAAGTGGATCAACACACTCATTGAATGGGTGTCAAGATTAATATTTTTTTAAAAAATTTAATTTTCACCCATTATTATAAATTCACTTTAATATATAATATCAAAACTTTCTTTCAATTACCAAGACTTGTATTTCTTGATCATGAGGGAAGTCAATAATTATTCTCTGTATGTAAACTATAGGACAAGAAAGAATTGTTTCATTACTTATTCACAAAACTTGTCACTTGTGTTATCAACCATAAGTTGATTGCATGGTCCAATTTATATATGTAAGGTATGAGTGAGAAAAATCCTCTAATGAAATTACAGTTCTGGCATGAAATGAAGGAAAAAAGGTACTGTAACATACCTATATGTTGTCACCTTGTGGATGCTTCCTCGCTCCTTTCTCCAAAACACTTACTATCTAGACAATTTTTATTCAATGTCTAGGCTAAGATTCAAATGATACCAACCATTGTACCAAAATTAGCTTCTGATAAACATTTAGCATAAATAATCTAAATTAGGAAAATGAAAATGTTGAGAACAGAAACAGACATATCATGTCAACATAAAGTCTGCCAAGAAACCATAAAGACATTCAAGTGTACACTGGAGACTTTGGCTAATAAAGGCTTCAAGAAATCAAGCTTAAGATCTAAGAATGCTAGAACTTAGAACCATATTACAAGTATTAATCAGGGAGATGATTTCATCTCAAATAGTTTATGATTCACTCTTCATTTTTACATGTCTATTATTCATTTGTGTTTTCCTCTCATTTGTTATCTTATTTTATAGTCAAATGTTTGAAATTTTGCCTCTAAGTACTTGAAAAGTTAGAAGGTTAACTTGAAAAATGCCACATTTATCAAATGCATAATGTTTCCTAAATGATGGGCAAATGCTTGCATGTGCAAGTTCCTTTTGTAATTGCTACTTCTAAGAATATGATTAGTTGAAGCCTTGAGACATTGTCGTAGCTTTAAGTGGAAAGACTATAAGGGCCTAGATTTTTTTAGCTCTTTTTCCTTTTAGTGTATTATATTAAATTATATCACCTATAATCAGGACAACTAAATGTTATTTGATATATTTTTGGGAAATAAATGTTAATTGATATTGACTTTTACATACAAATTATTAGAATCTGAACACAATGACTCTTGTGGCTTTTTACTCAAAACTATTTTCAATTTTAATTTCATGGAGTTATTTTTTTTTTTTGATTTTTTAGAAAGAAAAACTTTGTGTGATTTTGCTTTTTCTAAAGAATTAAAAGTATAAGTAACACTTAGATTACATGTAACCAAATATAGGATGTTGGGATCTGCTAATAACCAGAGGTTGAATGTGTCTCAATTGGTTAATGTAGAAATAGCAAAACTAAGATTAGATATCTTGGGCATTGTAAATTTGACTAAGAGGTTGTGGAGGATATCGATCTGGATATGTGGGAAATTCTGATTGATTGGCTTGTGGAGGTTAATTCCTTTGCTGTGTTCTTTGTTATATCTAAAAACATATTTAGCTTTATCTTTTTGTTTGTTTCAAGTATATTTAATTTTGCTTATGCTATTCAATTCAACTATTGAAGATTTAATGGTGGGAGAAAAGGCTTAAAAAGTGCATATGGTAAGCTAAAGGTAAACTTATCCTCTCTCTTATTGATAATATAGAATAAACATAAACAAAATTAATTCTTAGTTTTTTATACTGCTACATGATGGCATGCTTTACATTAGGCAAAGTTAATAACTTTTTTTCTTTAAAATTTTTTTTTTATTAAAATCTCCAACATGTGATCTTACATGTCTTATTTAGATCTTTCAACAATTCTCCCCATTTTCCCTTTCTCTTTTGTTTTTGTTCCATGTCTTGATTGGAATGGTAGGTTGTCATTTACCTTATGACCATTAAGACTTCCGATTCGCATTGATTTTATCAAGAGAATGGGACAAGGACCAAACTCTTGATTAATTAATGTTAATAAGCAATTGAAGCTTTGGATTGCTCATTATTATGTTTTGCACAAAATATCTCATTGATTTTTAAGCTAATGATGTGAACATTATATACTTAATTAGCTTTAAACTATTTCTTGATTTTATAACCTTTATTAAATTTTGACATGCTTTTTTGTATTTCATAGATAACCCTTTTAACTTATGTTTAGTATTTGATTTGACATTGAAAGTAAATTGTGAACATTGCAAAGGGTAAAATTCCCCACTAAAGATAATACTTGAAAATTAAGATGTTTGTGAATTGATTATGATTGTATATCATACTAAGTACACTTAAGTGGAGAATGCAAGCAATTAGTTCTTTCTCCTTCATAGACTATTTCTTAAGGAAGATCAATAACGATCAAACTCCACTAAGAACTTCAACATTTGAATCTATCCAGCTTTTATTTAATACTGTGGTATGATCTCCTGTTTCATTCTCAAACTCTTTGTGTTACAAAAATTGGTTATGGGTTATTCCTATTCTTTATGCTGCAATTATGTATCTACAATAATTAATGATGGCAACATGGTGGGTGGAAACTAATGATGAATCAATTAATATTGTTGTAAAATAATTTTGATATGCTCCATTTTTATTAATCTCATTTGTGTGGTTTACAGATGTTGTGCTTCTCCTCTTATGATTTAGTGGATTTAATTTGCCTCTTCTAAAATTTGTTAAATTGGTTTGTTGGCTAAGAATTATGTTGTAATGCCCATATTATCAAAAAGGCGATGAGACTCTTTTTATTTATTACTAATGTGATCATATTTGATGTTTTAAAAAGGATATTTTTTTTACAATAAAGTTTTCATGTTTGGTTTTATAATTTTTTTATGTATCATTTTTCCCAATTTCCTTTTATTATTATTATCTTTAAAGCTATGACACAAATTCTCATAAAAAAGAATGTACAGTAATCATTTTTTTAGTCACTTGTTACTGATGACCTATAACAATTTTATATGAAAATGGGTAGAATTTCATAAATTAGCCAGCTTTGAAAGTTAGTGATTTTGTAATTGACCATTTGCCTATTACTTCTTTTCATATATGTCATCTTCATCTTTATCTTCATGTAGCATGTCTGTGGTATTCAGGGGAGATTCATCATCTGAGGTGGATCAAGGGATAATTAGTTGAGTTTTTCTTCTTTTTTTAGTTTTCACATATGACTATATGTGACATGAACCATAGTTGATCTTGCTTTCACTTTCTTGGTATAATACCCTAAACTTTGCTTGGAGCGATAGTTTTTTTTTTTTTTTGGATTGAAAGCCACTTCTTATATTTGTGACATTAGTTTTTTGTAGGTATGCTTGAACTTCTTTTGTTACATATATATTGTGGACAATATGTTTAAAGCTTAAAGATGCCTCCACTTGAAGGTTTTTTAATAAGAAAGGATATGGATATATTGTTTGTTCTAGTCACTAGATAGGTTGGAGAGTCCAAAATATACTGCTGGTTAGTAATTAATAGCATGTAATCATTGAAAATGTTTCCTAAGTTTACCTGGTTTATTTGACAATCTTTTCACAATAAAATTTGTAAACTTACCTCCACATAGATCTTTCTATTATTGTGATTGACCATGTAAGTGCCTCACTCTTATGAAAATGAATTCAATGAATGAGATGTGATTAATAGAGCTAATACTCCATTAGTTTTAGACCCACAGAGTCACCTACTTCCTTTGTCTTGATCCAACCTTGCTTATGGCTAATGGCTCTAATGGCTATACAAGTCATCTACATTTTGTTAAAGGTTGGGTGGAGGACATGCAATCTACACATATATTAGTTAAAGAACATCAACTGGACATTTATATTGATAAGAAGTAGGGAGATTATCATGAAAGGAGAAGGGTATAAGCATTTTATATAGTAAATTTTGTTATTGAAATGAAGAGGGTGGAAATGGGAAGTTATACAACTTTTTTTCTCTCTTCTACACTTGAGACTTTTTGTGTTTTGTGTATGTTTTGCCACTAGCTTGAATTATTGTTACTCTAATGCAAGGCATGTTAACATCGCATTCAGAGCAAGTCATTTGAAACACTTAATACCACATTGAAATACATTAACATTGGTTTTTCTATTGACCTACTATTCCTACATCTACTCCTAAAATTTTAGATGAATCGTTTTCTCTCTTTTTATTTTGAGATAGAATTTGATTGATTTAATTATCTCAAGAGAAACATGAGTGTAGCAATTGGTCATATTATTTTAGCCTACTAAATAGGAGAGTAGGAATTAGCCATTCTCTGTCTCCATGTTAATTCTCATTGTTTTGATTGTGTAAATTAGGATGATAAATATAGTCATGTAAATGGATTTAAAATATTGTCAAATCAGTACATAGCAAAAGCTTCTCACTACTAAGAATATCAATGAAAGCTTCTCACTTTTGAGAATATTGATGAAATATCTTCATATTATAACATTGTTGAGTGTTTTCTTAAACTGCGTTTAAAATTATGGCCAATTGAATCAATTGGCAAGTCTTTACAGTTTACTTTTACGGTTGATGCCTTCTATCTTTTTCCTTCAAGTGAATTAGCCAACTCATGCTTAGGTTGTAATGCTTATAACTTGAGAACTAACCAACATACATTAGTGCTTGGAATGGTATATTTGAAAAAGCCCCTAATTATTAACTTCTTGTAGCAAAGGATCAAATTGTATGAATTTTGATATGCCACTCAATTCATTCTCCTCGTGTAGGCATATATAAAGGGAGTGTCAACACTATGTGACCACTTTAACAAATCACATACAAAACATGTGATGATATACTTTAGCGGGTGAGTTATTCATTTATAGGTATGGTATAGTAATATCTTATAGTTATCAGTAGTTTTTACTCATTTAATTCATTGTTTGGACTTTCTGATCTTGTGTAGGTTGATGACACCCTTGAGTTGTTCAATAAACTCCAACTACAGCACCAATATGTTGCTACAATGACTAAAACATTACATGATGCATGTGACAAATTGGAGTTGTTTTGTTGTTGCTCACCTTATTTATTTATTTATTTGAAGAGGGTTGGTTATAATGATTATAAAGGCCATAATTTGAATTATGGTCATTGATAATCTAAGGGTTGTTATCCCTTTATTTTCAAGGTCAACGAGCATGAGACATGGCTTTACTTGGATCTTTAAATGACAAATGAGGAGAAAAAGTAAATGAGAATTGATGTTTTAAGCTTCTTCTTCTTCTTCTTCCTCCTTTTCTTTTCACTCCTAACCTAATCCTTCCCCATAAGAAGGGATGAACATGCCCCCCCCCCAAAAAAAAAAAAAAAACACACACACACACACTCACACCCCACATAGGCAAGGAAGTATGGGGTGCCATATGGGCCATAAGGCTCAATGCTATTTTATCCAATTGTAGGTTTTTTGGCTATGTTATCCTTGAACTCAAAGTTGTATAGACTTTTAATTTTTTTTAAACGAAAGAGTTACTATAATTCATCCAATCATGTTATAACAAATGACCATAATTAAAGGGATATAGTTATAAATGAATTTTATTTTCATATTACTTAAATTGACTATTAAAATTTAAAAGGTCCCATCATAAAACTTACATTCTATTTGTTCTCAATAAATGTTTGACATTTTGCTCGAAAATTGTGTTTGAAATACATTTTATGAAAATTATGTAATTGAAAAAAAAGCAATTCAATATTAAATAGTTATGCTTATACTTTAGCTTGGGGAAAAATGAAACGGACATACTATTAAGGAATAGGGATGTATTTATTTATTCCATTATTAAAAATTGATTCTTAAAGAGTTTTAGTTATGCTTTATGTTTGGAAGGAAAAAAAACCTGCCTATATTAAAATATATGCTATAATAAACTCTATAATATAATAAAATCTGTTGTATAATTTATGAAATTTTCATTCAATTAATTTCTCAATGTCATAACATATTAAATCTGAAATAGCGGGAAATTAAAAATAACCTCAATATATAGACTATCGCTTCCAATATTACCAAGTATGAAAATACACACACAGTAAACAAAAACTATCGATAAAAACTTTGATTTGTCTAAAATATAAGATATTAAGTTAATTGTTTATCTATTTAACCAAATATAAATTCATGTCATTGAATTTATTTTATATACTAAACATGGTTTGGATATTTAATTATTAGGGCCATTATTTTGTTTTACATTATTTTATCACAGTTTAACTTAGAAATCATTGATGTTCTTAAAAATTAATGTCTTCGCTGACTATTTTTTAACAACTATTATTTTGTTTGCCAATTCGCTCAGTTTTGATTTACATGAAAGTTATGAGGTTAAATATCACATGCTATTTTTTCTTAATTAAAAATATGGTTCCACCCTAATAATTATATAAATGATTGTCCCTTAAATTACCCATGCAACGCATGGGTCCCCTCCTCTTGTTCCCCATTAAAGTCTTGTATGTAAAAAGTGAAAAGCCCTGTTTCATCATCTTTTTTTTTAAATGTTTCTTTTTGCCTTTTTTTTTTCAAATAGCAACTTACATTAACTAACCAGAATGCAAAGACTTCAAGCTATCCTCAATGTTTGCATCATCTGCCTTTTTTTTATTTTTTGTTAAAGATCAAAGTATATTAATAATGAAAAGAGTAAAATATACTGACATCCTTTTTATTATACCTTAATGACACAAACCTCCTCTCTGTTTTAAAAATTCATATAAACCTTCATTAAAATTAAAATATATACTCTTTTTGTTCAAAAATATAAGGTATTTTTAATTGAATCTTACTTTCGATAAAGTAGTTACCTACTTTCAAACTAACTCTATCTTTTTATATTTATCTCTATTAAATATCCTATAATAAATATAAATTTATTAATCAATAGGGATACTTTAAAAAAAAAAGATAATGATTACACCTTGAAGAACTAAAAATACTTTATATGTTAAAATATTTAATTTCTTAAAAAATTTCGTACATTTTTTAATGAAATGAGTATCATATAAACTTCCCTTGAATATTTGAGATTTTATTTACATACATTCAACTGTTAGTTAACTGTTAAATATGACTTTTAAACTTAAAACTTGACCAAAATGTCATTCTTTAATATAAGAATTATCTAAAAATTGATATTTTCTGAAAATATTTATACAACTAACAAATATAATTAACACATTTTGAAATTTTTATTATATAATAAAATTTATCAATTTTATCATATTATAAAATTTTAATTTTCATCAAATTTATTGAAACTTATTTATTTATGTTTTTATATTGCTAAAAACATATTTCAAATACATTTTTGTTTATCACATAACACCAAATGATATATATAAAAGTTTGAAAGATTATATAAATAATTTAAATTTGAAATTTAAAATTTATAAACATGTCTTTTACAATGAAACTATATAACTATCAATTTAATATAATTTAAGATTTATTAGGATGAGGGGTAATTAGTAAATAAAATTTGTTTTAATATAAATTTTAATTTAAAAATAATTTTTTAAAATATTTTTAATCAAATTAAAAATTAGATTAAATTGTATGTTTTTAAAATAAAAAAATTTATGTAATTAAGGTAAAATAAAAGAATATTGAAATTATTTTACTCAAATGAAAAGGATGAAAGTTAGTTCAATAATATACAAGAAATTAAGAATGCTGGACAGCTGTCTCCAGGTTTCATGCGAGAGTTTCTTTTTGGCACAGAAACCACTCTCTGAACAAAGTTCTCTATTTATTCTCCAAATCGATTCCTTACAAAGGAAATGACACAGTTATTTATACTAAACCTTAGATTCAAGGACTTAAATGCTGATGAAGGAGTTTCAGCTGTTACATGAGTGTTTATTAACCTGTGAAAGTTACAGAGAATTATGGCATTTAAAGTTATGAATGAGGAGTTACGTTCAAGCTTCCTTACGTTCAGGCTGTTTCACTTTTTGCGGTTAGCTAGCCTCCTGATGTTTTATCTTTTATGTTTAGCTTTTCTTTCTCCCCTCATTTTTTCTTTTCGCCATTGGGATCAGCCTTCTTGTATTCCTTGTTCAACGTCGCCCTGTTCTGATCATAGATCCATGGTAAGTTTTTCTTTATCAAGAGCGATATGTGTATTTTTCTCTCCTTTTCCATTCTTTCCTTCTTTCTGTCTAGTTTTCTTTCTCTTTCTCCTTCTCTCTCTTCTATTTTGGCCGTCTGGTTTCCTTCAATCAGCTCCGGTTCCGGTTCAAAAGCTGGTTCTGAACGTCTCAACCCTGGACAATTCTTCAAACAGTCCAAAACTAAAAAACGAGCCTGTAAGGTGTCCGGACGACGGCCGAACCGGTCCGGGTTCTAAATCACTGCAGCCCTCACCCGTGTTCTGATCTCCCGTTCTTTATCTACACAAATTTCTTCGACCTTGCCGCTTGAATAAAGTTGATGGTTGCTCATTTGTGTTTGTCTCCTCCCGTACATATGTATAAATGTTATAGGGATTCAATCTTTCGATTGTGTTCTTCCAATAGCTAAAAGTCTGTGGTAGTTGACTTAGCTGGCTTGTTGCCTTTGTAGGAAACTTTTCATCAGGGACTTGTGAAGATTAAGAGTCTTGGTAAACAACTTCGGTAACTAGTAAATTACTTAATTTTAAACTGGTACTTCTTCCAACCATAAGATTAATCTAATGGTCAGGATCCGAATCCGCGTTCGCGTGGACCCCCTTCTCTAGCTTTTAAAATTGCCTTCTTTTGTACTCACCATATACGCCAGTTCCCTTGCAGACCACCACTCCAACGATGGGATTCCTGACCCAGTGCTTTCGAGGATCTGCTTCTACTAAAAGACCTTCTGCAACCGTAGAAGAGCTTTCCTACTGCTTCTCTCTTTCCCAACTTCAAGCAGCAACCAACAACTTTGACGAAAGCCGACTAATCGATGAAACATGTTTTAGTAAGGTATACAGAGGTCACATCTCGATCGATGGCCAACCAATGGAAATTGCAGCGAAGCTTATGCATCGATATGAAATCGAACAGCGTTCCAACTTCGAGAACGAGATCCTGTTTTTGTGCCAGCTACACCACCCGAATCTTGTGTCCCTCCTTGGATTTTGTGACGATGAATTTAAAGATGAAATGATGGTGGTGTATGAGTTCATGCCTAATGGATCCCTCCACCATCAACTTCACAAAAGGGATAGCAACTCGCCAGCGCTTTCATGGAAGACAAGGCTAGAGATCAGCATCGGAGTAGCGCGTGCACTACACTACCTCCACGTAGGAACCAAGCGCACCATCGTCCATTGTAATGTGAAACCAAGTATAATTCTTTTGGACGACCATTGGAGTCCCAAACTCACAGATTTCGGGATTTCTTTAAAAGGACCAAAATATTCATCGAAGGAAAAGGCCAAGGAGGTGAAAAGACCCATAGCAGGCACCTTGGGATACACAGACCCTGCGTATCTTCATAGTTCTATGATCTCAAGTAAATGCGACGTCTTTAGTTTTGGAATGCTTTTGGTAGAATTAATATGCCGAGAAAACATCTCCAAAATTCTGCTGACATTTGTTGATGAATTTGCTTTGCAATCTATCGCAAGTATGGCTGAGAGATTAAGGAGTCTTGAGGAAGAGGGAAATATTGGGAAAAAAATTGACCCTAGTTTGGTAGGAAAGATAGCACCAGAGTGTTGGAGATTTTACATAGACATTGCAGCGAGTTGCACGTGAATAGATCCGGATGAGAGGCCAGACATGGGTGAAGTTGAAGTGCAGCTTGAACGTGCATTGCAACTACAACAGGAAGCAGATGCCCATCATAGTTTCCGCGCTTTCTTGATTTGAATTTGTTTCTCCTTCATTTTCTGTTTCTTTCTTTTTTTTTTTTATAAATCTTTCTACCGTCCCAACTCTATCTTTCACTCCCATGGCCACTATATAATTGTTTTCTTCCTATATTTAGTATAATTGTCTTTCTTGTATTGATTAGTAGGTTATAGTGAGATTTATTTTTCAGATTAAACAATACAAGTTGTTATAAATTGTAAGGGCATCTTGAGTTTATTAAGATTTATTTTATTTAGATATTATTTATTGATATTTATTCTGTTGAAATTTAAAGAATATTTTTTATTTATTAGTTATTATTATAATATTCATTAGTTATTATTAGAACAGTCAATACACAATAAACTTTTCATGTATAACACCATTTCAAATCTCATTCCAATAATCGCTCCTAATTAAATTTTCTGTTAAGAATCATTTGAAATTTTTTACTTAGTGATTTATTTTTAAGAATCACTCATGAATTTCCTACTAACCAATTCATCTCCTTTGAGAATCATTTCAAGATTTGTTTGGTGATGATTTATGATTTATGCAGAAAAGAATCATTCCGAGCAATACAAATTGTTATAAACTCAATAGCACCTTGAGTTTGACGGGATCTTGTCAAGATATATTGAGATTTATTTTTTAAATTAATTAATGTAAGTTGTTACAAACTCAATGGCACCTTAATTTTGAATGGAAGTGTCATGATATATTATCTATAAAGATTTAGTCCATTAAGATATTACATCTTTTTTTTGGGCCAACTATTAAGATATTATGTGTATTGATATTTATTCTGTTAATATTTAAAGAATATCTTATATTACAGGTAAGACTTATGTACTTAACCTTATATACTTAATATATTTATATCAAATTAAATCATGACATGTGAATTTTTATATATTAATTTAATTAATAACAATAATTCATCATGGAAAAATAATTTATAAAAGATCTACATGTCTTAATTTAATTAAATACAAGCACCTTAAGTATACAAGGCAAAGTACATAAGTTTTTTTTTCTTATAATAATTAGTTAGTATCAGGATATTCTTTAATTATAATTAGGATAGTTTGTATATTGTAAACTTTTCATATTAATGGAACACTATTTTAAATAGAGCCGATAATTTAGGCAGGCTAGGATTATTTAGGCTGGGCTCAATTCGAGTTGAGCTTATTCGAATCAAACTTAAAGTATCCTACCCTTTCTAAAAAGCCCATATAACTAAGTTCAGTCCTAACACCTTCCGGCTTCGGGCTTATGCACGGTGACCCGAGTACCCAAAACTTTTTAAAAGTATTTTTTTTTATTTTTTGAACCAATTTTAATTTTTAAATAATTCTATTAAGCATAAAATATTATCTTAATTTTAAAAAAATAAAATAAAAAATAACTTATCAACTTTGTACTTAAGTAGCTTTGTTATTATTTTGTTGTATTATGTATAATTTATTCATGAATGTTTCCTTTATTTGTAAATTAATGTCTTAGTTGTTTAAATATTGCTCTTATCATAAATATTTTATATATTTTAATTAAATTATATTATTTAAATTATGATTAAGTTAATTTTAATTCAATCACAGTTAGATTACTAATTTAAAATTATTATCTTAATTAGTTTAAAATTTTTAATAACTTTTTGGGTAAATTGTACTTTTCATTTTTATGAATATAAAAAAAATTTCCATCATTATATTATATAAAAAATTATTTAATTATGAGTAAAATATTATTTTTTTGAAATCATTTTTCTTTAATTTTTTATATTATTTAATTATGAGTAAATTATATAACTTTCTATAATTAAATAGACTATTATGAGTAAAACATATAAAGGATTCTTACTCTAGTTTACTCTTAATTTTTAACTAAATCTAGCATGGACAATAACTATGTAATTATTCAAGAATATTATTCTATTTATTATGTTTATCTAGTAGTAGAGTCGGAAATTTATACATGCCTAAATTTTATTTTTAAAATTATTTTTACTTTTAAATTAATTATCTTAATTTATAAAAAATTTAAAATTATTTTTATATATGCAAATGATTTATAGGACTCAAAATGTTTTAAAAAAAATTATGTCTTAAAATATTAAAATCAATATTAAAATATATTTTAAATATTATTTTGAGATATTTTATTGATTAAAAAATAAAAATATGAAATATAACTATTTTTAATTTTTATAAAAAAATAATTACATTAAAACACTTATATATATATATATATAATATTTTGATATAAAATGATATAAAACTTAAAAAATTAATTAATATTTATCATATTTTATATATATTTTTAAAAAATTATTTTTTTATTCGGGTATTCAGGCCAAGCCCGAACTTGATCGAGCTTGGCCTGAATTTCCTTGGGCCCAAATAGGCCCGAAAAATAAAAAATTAATATTTTTTTTAAGTTTGGCTCTAAATTTTCTCGGTGGATTCGGGCTGGTCCGTCGGATTTGGTTCAAATTATCGGCTTTAATTTTAAATTTCTTTTCTTTGTCTTCTAATTTCTTTCGTTAAATGTTTACAACTATTCAAACGCGTGACATCCTTTTCCTTCTCGTTATTTTCCCCTAATTAATATATTCTTTTTATCATGTAAAAAGAGCTCGAACTCTTTAATCGCTCTCCAAACTTTATACCACTAATTCTTAACAATTGAGTTTAGTGCAAGTGAAATAAAATTCCACTAAAGATTCTCCTATGATCATGAGATTCTAATGAATTTAAAATAATCACTATTAATTTAAGATATTCTGCAATAATCTTGGATATTCCTCCCCAACCTGAGGAAGAGATGTCATCAATTTTCAGCTTGAATAATAGAAGCTCCAACCTCCAACTACTGCTATTCAACCCCTTATAAGTTAGAAGAACGTTTCGCATAACTTCCACATCATGCCGGGACATAAGACATGCCTGCCAATCCTTCAAATTAAATATCATGTATAAAATTGTGGTTGTTGAAAGTTGATATATACTCTATTTCTCTCAAATTATAAAATACTTTTAAAAAATATTTGATGTCTTAAAATATAAGACACTTTGATAAAAATAAAATTTTATTAATAATGTTTTTTTCAATATTATCTTACTTTTCTTAATACTTTTTCCTAAATAGAGTATTAAATGAAGAGTATTTTTAAAAGTTTATATTTTTATTTTAAAACATAAAGTTTTAAAGCATATTTAATAAATTTTATTGATAAGTGTGATTTTGTTTAAAAATATTTTATAATTTAGAATGGAAAAAGAAAATATTGACACCAGCTACCATGCTTTTGGACAAGGCAAGTATCGCTATTTTGCATTAATAGTCTGACTATTCAAACTTTTGTTTGTTTGTTTGTCAGTTTTTTTTTTTTTTAGGGATAACAAATTCAAACTTTTGTTTGGGGCAAACCGCAATAATGGTCTGACTACTCAAACTGAATCATCGCCACCAGATACTATTCAAACTTCATATATGAGACTTTAGGAACCCAATAGTTGGTCTCGCTATAATTGCATTTAAATTAATTAAATAGTATAAATATTTTATAACTTCAATGTCTACCAATAATATACTTTAATTTATCTCTTTTTAGGGGCTGTTTTGTAATTTGGGAACGGGTGGATGCCAAGGGAAGGTGGGGGAAGAAAACAAAAGGCAATTTCAATCTTAAAAAATAAAAATAGAAATTTCATTTTTTTTTATAAAATGATATTTTCCAATTGAGAGTTCTAGACTTCAAGGAGCTTTACTACAATTTTATACTCCCTCCGGTCTTTATATATATATATATATCAAATATGTCATTTTTTTAAAAAAAATTGATATTCCTTTTTATTAATCACTTTGCAAGAAACCTGATTATTAATTATTTTTTCTAATTTTAATTGTAATTATCTGTGTAGAATAAAAAAAGTTATGCATGAAAGAGAAAATATTTTGAATGTTGGCTTATTTAAATAACAATAAATTAACAGCTTTCTTTCTTTTTAAAAATAATATCAATAATTTAATTACATCTTCTTAATTTTGATGAGATAATTAGAAGTTCCTTGTAAGTTGTGAAATATGGGAGGAGATAGGGAAGACAGAGAAAGAAAAAGGAGGGAGTAAGCATATTCTCAGATCAAATAAGTTGTCAATCCCTTACCCTTTTGTCAAGTATTAGAAAATACTCCATCTATTAAAAAATAAAAGACATTTATCTAAGATTGAATGTTTAAAAATAGAAGTTATTTTTAGCTTTAGTTTTCAATGTGTAACTAATGACCTTTTTCCAAAAACACCCTTGATAAATAAACTAGTTGACCAATTCACCTTTAAATGTATGTGACATCCTATAACAAGGGTAAATAAGGAAATATAATGTTAATTTAAAGACAATTAACTAACTTATTATGAATGTAATTTAATTAAAAATGTCTTATAATTTTTAAGGAAGGGAGTAAAAAATCTTCAATGCAATTTATGCACTGCCTCAATTTTTGAAGCTAGTCTTCATTTTGAAGTTGTTGATTCTTGAAGTTGGTAAAGTCCACCTAGTGCAAAAACTATTTTCTAATTTCTTTTCTAAAAATTTTAAATTTCTATTCTATATACATCATTTTACTTGGTGTTGAAACATATGATTTTTCATATATTTTTTTAAAAAAGTAACTACTTTCTATACAGGGTAAATAAAGACCCAATGTAGAATTATTGTCATTTTTTTACATTTCTTTAAAAAAATTAAAAATTTCTACATCGATTATATATGGAACCTAAGTAGAAAGTATTTTATTAAGTCTTTTTATTTATGACAATGCCACTACTCACACTTTTTTGCAATAGTTTTTTTTTAGTTGAAAAGTTTTTTGACACAACTTTATGGACTCTAACATGGTTCGTTTGAATCACATAGGCACCCAAGGAAAGGGTGAATTGGGTAACACTTAAAAATTTTTAAAAAATTAAAGAGTGAAAAACTTTAGTTTGGAGGAAAAGGATGAAACACA